AAAGGAAAGGCACTCTTTGGATTGAGGAGGATTTGGAGGTTTCTCTCCATCAGCTGAACTTCTTTCCTCAACCTGCTATTTAAGTGGTTTGAGCCATGTAGCAGCTGGGATGACTGTTCTGCAGCTAATTTGAGCCTTTCTTGGAAACATTCTGTAGTCTCTGCAAATGTCCTCTGAATATCAGCTAATGATTTTCCACAAATAACCGTGGCTCTATTATTCTAGATAGATGAGATGAACCCAACCCATCGCCTCGCAAAGTGGTTCAGCATCTGTCTCAGTTGCTTTTATGGAAGAAGAACATTTTTTCCACTACAGAATATGTATCAGTCAAAGTGCAGGGAGCTTGATAAATTACCTTTCAGTGTGCATTCTTGATTACGTTTTTTCCCAGCAGTATCTATAAGGAACATCATAGGCAAGTCCATTCCAGTTCAAAATTTATGGGGAAAAAGATCATTTTTCACTCAATCCAAAGTATCCTGGACATCTTTCAAATTAATTGGGTAAACCAGTTGTCTATTTATTTAAACATTTGCATTCTGTCTTTCTAAGGAAAACAACTTGCCACAAAGCATTGTGTGGCTTACAATGCCCCAAAGAATGATTATAAGAACTCTGCAGCCAAATAACTGTCTTGCGAGTACAAATCAGTGACCCTCCTGGCCACTTGAATTCTGTGACTTGACCTTGCTGCCCTTCTAGAGTTGCCAGCTCCTGATATTGCGATGAAGTAAAGTAGGCAGACTCCCTTGGAATTGACAGGACTGCATTCCTTTGCACATTGCCTTTCCTCCAAAAAACCAGTTGTAGAAAAGTATAGTACTAAAAGAACTGGAGGGAGTGAAATAAATGAACCTAGTATTCTTATCTTGATTCTAAAAGGAAAATGTTTAAAAATGGTACTTGGAGAAATTATAAACTATGGGCAGTAGCTGGACCAGGCTTTAGAATTGTAGTTCATGTATTGAAATCAGAAAATCACACTGATTTTAGTGGATCTTCTCCAAGTATAAATATGAATGGATTCAATCAATGAAAAATTTTAAATGAGAAAAAAAAAGTGGTGAAATGGGGTATGTCTTGGTACAGACTGTAGGCTGAATGAGGTAGTGCTAAGAAGTCTTTCCATTCTTAAAAAGATTCAATTCAGTGGAATTTTAAACTGGTTTTCTGTGTCACTGCCAAAGCTGTCCCTCAACCTGTTACTGATTACAGACCTTCCTCTTAAAATAAAAAGAATAAGCAAATAAAGTAATTTCCCATTCCCAGGAAAGATCTATCTGGTGCAATCCTGCTTAACTTTAGAACAGGAATGCTAAAGGCTGGACTGTTGTAGTTGTGTATAGATTTTTAAAAAGCTACAGTAGTTACTAGAAGGGCTATTTTATTTTTTGTTTCTCTTACACATTTATTGCTTGGAACAGTTAGAGAGTATTTGTGAAAATGTTTCAGAAAGTGGGTATATGTCGTCATATGTTGTACTTTCCAGGGTATTGCATGGGTGGAGTATGATAGATCTAGAGGTCCCTTGATTGCAAAAAACTGTTTCAGGTTTTCTTCAGAGAAATAATTTGAATTGCATCTTCCAAGTCATTTAGGAAATAAAGATCAAAGGAAAGATAATCTGCCTTTAACTAATTTCAGTCTTTTTTTCTCATTTCTTCCCAATCCCCAGAATGATGATGGCACTTACACAGGTTTCATCAAAGTGCACCTAAAATTGAGGCGTCCTGTGACAGTCACAGCAGGGATTAGGCCACCATCTATCCATGATGCTCTCAAGGAGGTCAACTTAGCTAACATGACAGAGAAAAGAACATCATTCTACCTGCCATTGGATGCCATCAAGCAGTTACACATCAGTAGCACAACAACTGTGAGTGAGGTGATCCAGGGACTTCTGAAGAAATTTATGGTGGTGGACAACCCACAGAAATTTGCACTTTTCAAACAGATGCAAAAAGATGGTCAAGGTGAGAAAGACACAAAATATTACCTGTTGCAAAGAGCTTCCTGCCCTATAAGTGACGATTCATGCAAGTGGCCTGCCAGGTTCCCATCTTCTTTTGTTATAGCAGCCCTCCTCCCAGAGGAGCCCAAAGCAGTCAAACAATAAGCAATCAAATCAGTCTTGATTAAAACCATACAGTAAAACTAACAATTCTTAAAATAATAAATACAAACATTAGAACAAGATTAGTTTTTTTTAAAAAAAAAAGCAGTAGACCAAGCTGAAAGTGAAGAATAAAATCGTTAATCTAATCAAGCTTCCTTTTGACTATCTTAGCTTTCTGGGCAGAATAAACTTCAATAACTATGGTAAAGGTTTTACAAAAAAATAATAAATCTATTGGAAAGTCATATGGGGAGAGCTTTAAAATGGCATTTGAGGGACCTGTTGTAGAATCTCTATTTCTATTTTGCCAAGTTCACAGGATGGCATGCTTCCAAATGTGAGATCAAAATGTTCAAGTCTACTTTCATAGTCGGTAGAAGAAATGGAATTAAATAGGATTTTCTTAAATTACAAATCAGAAATCGATTTTCTCCATGTTGTATTTTGGATTTAATGTATCAAAATGAAGACATTATAAGGCTTATTCATTTTGGGGTGGTATCTGACGAAAAATCTGCTTGTTTATGGACCTTAATTTCTGACAGGTATCCAATCCAATATAGGATGTCCTTCCTTAAGGCAGGCAATGCTTGATTTTAATAGAAGCTTGGCTTTGACATCATGCTACTGTTTGCAGTGTTTGTGACATCATTCATAGGCACATTTGTATGTTTCGTGGCTACATGCAACAGAGTGTTATTTCTTCTGGCAAATAAATAATGCAAACACTGTTAGCCAGAGCTCTTGCTAAATGACCTTGGATGGTCAAAGTCTAAGCATGTATAAAAGCAATCTTATCGTGACAGGCAGGGATAATCACGTACAGCATGAAATCTCCTAATTTGGTAGTTACAAGAGCTAAAATAAAGATGTTCTATATAACTATAGCTTTACCTAAGCTTATAGCTCAATGGCAACATGTGCTGTGCATGCACAGAGTTCCAAGTTCACCCCATGGCACCCAATTAAAATTATATCAAAATTATAAATAGAAAAGTCCTTAGACAAAGGGTCAGCGATTGCTGAGTTAGATAGGCAATAATTATATCCATGAAAAATCCTTGCAGAATTTGGATTTAGAATCATAGAATTGGTAGAGGCTACATCCTGCAATCTGGACAGTAGAAAACAGGTGTTGACCTCTTGTGATATCTTTTGAGGTATTTGAAGATTGAAATCTCTCTCTCAGCCTTCTCTTCTGAAGGCTAAGTATTTCCAGTTACTTTCAATTTCTCTTCCTAAGGTTTCATTTTTAGTCCCTTGATAATCCTCATTGCCCTTCTCTGAACCAGATCCAGTATGTCTGAATCCTTAATGTATGGTGCCTAGAAGGAAGTCTGAGTATAGAATGGAATGTGATTTGGAAACTAAACTTCCATCATTGGCTGTTTTGCAGTTACCTTACTGCAGATTCCTTTTCAATTTGTAGTCAACTAGTATTCCAAAATCTTTTCACAAATGTTACTATCAAACCAGGTATCCTCCATCTTATATCTGTTTCCTAACTGCATTGCTTTCAGTTGCCTTTAATTCAATTCTGTTATTATCTGTTCACTTCTCTAACCTATTAAGATTACTTTAAATGTTATTTCTGTTTTCTAGAGCATTAACTATCCCACCCATGTTTATAGTATCTGTACATCAATAAGCATTCATTCCATATCTTCACCCTGTTTGTTAAAAAAAAAAAAAAAGTTAAAGGGTACAGAGCCTAAGGACTGAGCCTTATGGCTCCCCACTTGATACCTCTCTGCAATTTGATGAGGAAATTCTTTAACCTAGAGTTGCTTTCCTCTTTATTATGGCTTTCAGTAAGGATAAATAGTAAGTAATAATGTCCAGTTTTGGAGAACAAACAATAAATGTTTGAAATTGCTGTAAAGGAAGGAAGGGCTGAAGATCTTTAACAAGAAGCAGTAGCAGCCTTTTCTGTCTAGTCTCCTTGAGGCTCTGTGCGTAAGCCTGACCATAACTACATGTCCAAATGCGGAGAATGAGTAAATCTGCACTTTCTTTTGAAAGGTCCTAAGTGATTTTTGGTGTCTTATCTTTTGTAGTTCTTTCCCAGAAGCTTCCAGTCACAGAATACCCTTTGTTCCTCCGGCTGCTAGCAGGCCCTGACACAGATATTCTGAATTTTGTGTTGAAGGAAAATGAAACAGGGGAAGTTGAGGTAGGTCTGAATGCTATGTGGGTTTTTTTGTTCCCTAACTTGCAAAGACACACAAAGATAGAACCACATTACACAAGTGGTGATTTGAATCTATAGGAGAGAACCAGAGTGGGTGGAAAAAAATAAACTTCCCATCTTATTATTTCTTATAACACTATTAGATACTTGTGTTCTAGAATAAGTGGAATATTGAAGCAAGTACAGAAGTATTTTAAGCAAATGGCATTTTATGTCTCATTTAATACCCTTTTAAAATATTAAACATGTTTTATATATACAGGGCATATATACAGGGCAAAATAGACTTCCTGCAGAATTCTGGCACTTAAAATTTAGCAATATAGAGCTAAATGATCAGGCTTCAGAACACAGATTACACCAGGCACCAAGGAAGACATTCTTCTGTGCTTCAAAAGTAAAGGACTAAACTCTGAGTCATAGGAATAATTTCCAAATTAAAAATAAGCCTTCCAAACCTTGGACATAAGCTTTTTGATGCATTTCTTAAAATGTGAATTGTTTGGAAGCTTCTAGAGGGGAATTGCTTTCTTTCAAGGAACTATAGCAGCACAGATGAGTCTATAGGTGAAAGGACTCAATCTTCTTTCCCAGAAGCCCTCTGGATTTACAGATACTGTCCCCACATTCTTACTTTGTAGTAGTAGCTTAGTAATTTTTCTTGCTACCATCTGTCTCCCAGGGAGCACCTCACCTGACATCCGCTCACAATTCCAATGTGCAGAGAGAGAGGGCCAAAACCTTTTTTTTGTTGTTGTAAGTATATAAAATCATTTTTAACTTAAGTACCCAACAATTAAACCTTCGACTTGGTTAAAAAAAGAAAATTCAACTAGTAGGCAACAACAACAGCAACAATAATTTAAAAAATAAACAGGAAATTAGTAGAGCTTCTGGAACATGACTGATATATGACTCTAGGCTGTGGTAAAACATATAACTCCTGAACTTGTACAGAGATATACATAATTTGTATTTGTATATACATGATTGTATAGAGATATACATAATTTAAGCTCACATAGCAGAAGATATTAAAACTTAATGCAGTGTATAACTACAGCAATTATCTGTTCTTTAGGGATAACTTGAAGTCCTCTACTTCTTTGTCCCTGGCTTCTTGGAGTAATTCCAGCCATTTATTGTACAGTCACTTATTTCTCAGCTCAGGTATCAGCTTCTTGCTCCATGTCCCTGAACATTTTCTCTATTTAGCAGGGAAGAGATTCAGTTTGCCTGCTAAAACCTGTGCTTGAGTGGTGTATATTTAAAGTCAGATGCTGTCTGGCATTTAGACTGGCAGAGAGACTTTTTGTGAATTCAGCCTGACTTGTTAGGAACATGATATGGTTGGTAATTCTAGGTTTTCAACTCCTTAAACTTGAGGAACCTATAATATTTCAGTAGTATCAGCAACAACTGGAAGGTTACAAGTTTTGGAATCCTGATTTAAGATGTGGAATATCAGCTATTACAGAGCATGTTGGCAATGTAAAATACTTTACTTCATTCACATAATGTTTTTTCCCCTTAGGCTCAAAAATCTCATTCTCAAGGATCTCACGTATTAACAATGCAGTCCATCTAATACAAGCTCAGTGGGGAGGGGGGGATCCTCTTCTTCGTGCCCTATCAAAAATGTCTTCACAGAAAAATCAAAGCTTTGCTGAAAAAAAGATGTCATCAGAATATCTGAAACATTTTCTACAATCTGATTTATTTTGAAGCTTTTACAGGAATATTTGAAAGGAAATGAAAACTGTTATTTGCCAGGATCTCTCTACAAAATAATCCCCTAAACTACATTTTGAATTAAACAAGATTTAAAAATATTTATTTATTTATTTATCCAATTTATATGGCCACCTGCCTTAACAAGTGACTGGGTGGCTAACAGAATTAAAATAGAATAAAACAATAACAAACATTATAAATGTTAAAAATACAGGCAGCTGAGAAACAACAACCCAAATCACTAACACAACTAAGAAGCGAGTCCCTCATACACTTGGGGCCCCAGGCCCGGGCACAGAACCAGGTCTTTAGGGCCTTACAAAAGGCCAGCAGAGTCAGGGCCATCCTGATTTCCAGAGGGAGAATGTTCCATATAGCAGAAGAGGCACATCTTCTAAGGTCCGCCAACTGGCATTCTTTGGCCTACAGAACCCGAAGCTTGCCCATCCTGCCTGACCAGGTCAGATGTTATGGAAAGTTTGAAACTTAAACAAGAAACTTAGCAAAATACTCAGGTATAAGTAATAGATTAAATCGAGACTGGTCATTCTGTGAACAAAATGGCTTCTTTCCCACACTTCCTTTACACCTATGCTGTTGTGGAGGATATTCCAATCCTTTGGGGCAGATTTTCAGCTACAGAAGGAAGGAGCATTCAACATAAAATATATTTTTCTATTCCTTCTGCATTAGTGGCTCACCACCAGTTATAAACTAGAACCCACTGTCTGTACCTCCTTTGAATTTCAGCCACTGACCTAAAGAATGATGATAAAACAAATAAGCTATACGCTGGAAAATCACTCTTTGCAGATACGGGGCCTTTTGTGTTGGAAAGCTGGAAAATGATACAGTGTGTGTAATCTTTCCTATGGGTGGTTTCTGCTTTCTTACCCTGAAAGTTTCAGAGTAGCAACTACATGCCTTGAGGGAAAATGAGGGATTGCAAAGGGTTCATTATGTTGGGGTGGGGTTTTCTTCTGGAAAATTAAGTTTGTTACAGCTGACATCTTCTTTCATGGGTTAGAACAACATTTATTTATTTCTTCTGCCAGTTTAAAGCCTCTCTGTCTTTTTACTCCCTTAGTGGGACAACTTCTCTATTCCAGAGCTACAGAATTTTCTAGTAATACTAGAAAGAGAAGAAAAAGACAAAATACAGCAAGTGCAAAAAAAATACAGCAAGTTTAAACAAAGACTGCAAGAGGCCTTGAAAGAAGCAAATAGCAAGCCTGGATAACCAAATATGGCTAGCAACAAACTTAATTTTAAAGTCTAAATAAATAAATATATTTAAAAGAAATAAAAACAAGACCGAACAACTTTTTCTTTCTCAGGACACTTTTCAGTTTGGTTGTAACCCAAGCTTTGCTTAGAACTGGTAGTTACAGAAAGGGAAACTGATATTCCAGTCCACTGACCCTCTAGAACCAGAAGTGGTCGCTGCTTTTCCTTCTCCATGGTCAAACTGCCAGGAAGCTCTGCAATGAATGCTGAATGTCTACTTTATTGGTTGGTTTATTGTACAAATGTTAAGGCTGGACCAAAATGGCCATCTCCTTTTCCTGTCATCCTGATACCTCACCTGTGGATTTGTGTTATGTGCAGTGGAAATGTATAGTGAGTGTGCTTTCTGTGGTCAGTTCATCCACATAACCATCAGCAAACAAGAATTTTAGTCTGATATACGTGAGACACACTATAAAAGATGCCAAACATTTTGTTGCACAAGAAAATGAACTGAACAATTGCCAAGGAGGCGGCAGAAGATAAGCAGGACTTGAGAAATGGCTGTGGACATGAGAAAGAGTACATTTTCTCAGAAGGAAAAGTCTCTCAGATGTTAGAATTTTAGGATTCAGATGGAAGTGGGGCATTGCATAGCCCTGCTTTTGGAACACACTTTCCCCTAATGCAGGACCAGCACTGAAGACTTTGGCAGCTGATTGTTGTATTTACCTTTATTAAAAGATGTTGGAAGCATTAGTCACATATTACCTTGAAATGTATGTGAAGACTCTGAAAAGAACAGGAAATAATCTTGGGTGTTATTGACACTCATGTAGTAGAAAATGAGTTGCAACTTGCAACTCTCCAGCTTATTGGCTCTCACCTTGCAGTTCATGCAACCTGTTTGAAGGTGTTAAGCCCAATTAGCTGGCTCTATTCTGTTTTTGCAAAAGCCAAGTTTTTGAAATTTGAACTGGAGAATTAAAATGTAAATGTGACGATAGAACAAGTATTACGAGAAATGAGCAATGCACTTAAAAAAACAGGCATTGTTATCTAAGGCCTTATATTTATATAGAACTTCCTGTTTGAAACTCTTCTTCTGATGTAGTTACAGCTGTATGGGAACTACTTGTCTGCAAGATGATCTTGTGTATTTGGAACCTGACTCTGAATTATGCACTCACTTATGGTAAGGATGGATAAATTGGGAACAGATATGGCAACTGTGGGGCTATTCAGGCACAGCCTACAAATGTATTGAGTTGTCTCACATTGGAGTGGCTACAGCGTGACTAGCTGCAGTTTGCCAGATATGATGTAGGACATGAGGCATTCTTTATTCTCCTGCTTATGTGGTAGTTGTGTGAGACAAATGATTCCTTCATTTTTTTTCCTGCCCCTCCCTTTTCTGAGTGTGGTTTCCACATGAGTTCATTGAGTCAAACTAGGTTTCATGTATTTCCCCTTTGAGGGCTAGCTTAAGCATGCATGAGCCATTTAGTCCAGCTTGTAAATGTCTTGACTCAGTTGACCGAGCAAACTCAAAGCTCCCTTCCCCCTGCTCTGCAAATACTAGCCTCTTGTTTAAAATAAACTGAATCATTTCTCTTTCATTAATTTGGTAATTAAGCCCATACTAAGAATCTAATTTTATTAGGCAAGGGTTAATCAGTTGTCAGAACCTGATTAGCCTGAATAACCTTCTTTGAAGATTCTTTAAATATATTGGGGGGGGGGCATATAAAGGGAAAAATAAGTTTTTAGCTCTGGGATAGCAGGGTTGTGTGTAGAGGTGTACCTTGCAATTAAAAGGAATGATTTGAACACCTTAAGAAGCAAAGAGCAAATTTAACTAAGTTCATGCTGAAGTAAAGCTACACACAAGCTTCCTCAGGACTGTAGAAATGGTTGATGAAACAAAAAATGTGGGACCCCAGGAGTTGTTCCAGTGTCTGCATAGTAAGAGAAGAGTCAGTTTTGTTAAGTCATTAAACATCTTCTCTCCAAGTGGGATATTATATATTATGTTTTATTTTCATCGAAGAGGGAGGAAAACTGTCTCCTGCTCCTCCCCTTGGCATGTCTTGAACATTTCTATAGAAGGCATGGCTTCTTATGCAATTGATGTGAATGCTGCTGACTAAGCCTCCTGTAAATAGGCAGGTGGCTTTTTTCTTTAAAGATATTATATAGCTAGGGGCATTAAGCTGAGGGAAAAAAAACGATGATGCTTAGATTGGGAGAGAATGTGGAGCCATTTGATCTGTGATAGAACAGAAGCCTTAGGTATGGAGGCCCCAACTTAAAAAGCGCAGACTACTGCTAGCAGTGCCTTTGTTTAGTATATTATGTTGCTTGCATCTGTTTATATGTGTGTGTGTATTTTTGTTCAGAATGGTCAGCTAAAAAACACATGTACAATCTGTATAGAATGGAATTAGTGAAAGCTTTTATGTGGATAAAGTAAATACATTTTTGCAATGCTGTAACTTATTTTTACTACTGTTTCAGCCCTATGACTTTTTTTTTTATGTCACCATCTGACTTTTTTTTTTAAAGCTCCTTCTCAATTTGGTTATATGATGCAAACTGTGTAAGAAACTATTAAAAATAAAGAATATCTGATATAAAGAATGAGTTCTTCTCTCTTACACTTTTGTGTGGGGTTCACTAGCATTGCACACAAAGAAACAGTGTTGTTGTTATATTTCAATTTTAACTGAGATGTAGTTTTCTAACCCACCGACTCACTGTTACTAACAGGCAAAGGATCTTGAACTTCCTCTCCCCCAGTGGGATGACCAACAGAAATCTTTCACAGAGCTTATTTTCTGTGCAGCTTATCTGTTTGGTACCATTTCCTTCTGATTTATCCTATACATTTGAGCAAGTACTTTCATCTACCTCTGTGTGAACAGAAGACATATTCCAATAAATCACACAGTTTAGATCACCATCAATGCACTGGCCAAATTCCGAGTTAACACTGCAGCCACTGCATGTTAGTGAAGTAGAGATCAGAGCTATCCCACAGCCATGCAAGAGAGAGAAAAAGAGAAATCAATGGCCTAAAAGCTGGTGTGATACAGTTGTTAAAGTGCTGGACTGGGGAGACCCAACTCCAAGTCCACTGTCAGCCATGGAAGCCAAGCCAATCACATTCTCTCAGGTTTACCTACTTCCCAGAGCTCTTGGGAAAAATTGGAAGGAGAGTTGCATGCCCCCTTGAGCTCCTGGAGGAAAGGTGGGATATTAATCTAATAAACATTTTAAGGCAAGGGGCATTCAGCAGTCTTAACTCCATTTTTGCAGCCCTTGGTAGCCCTTCTAACTAGGACTTCTAAAAATTGACTGAGGTTGAAAGCATATGAAAACTATCATGAAAACTCTTAAAATAGGCATTTCACAATTTAGAAAAGGAAACCACTTCCTTGACTACCCACCCTCAATTTTGTTTTTTTTTTAAAATCTATCCCTGTTTGCATACCTGATGGGGCTCTACCCACTTGCAGCAATCAACTTCTAAAATGTTAATTGTAGCCTTTTCCAATGAAAAGGCTGGTCATCCCTGGTCTTTTCTTGAGTCATCTCTCTAGTTTTCCTTGCAGCAAGAGTGGAATGTGTTAGGTACAAGAACAAGGTGTAAATACCTATCATCCTTATTCAGTAGAAATGGTTCAAAAGAAATGGGTATTGAGTGGGAGGAATCACATTGTTGATATTATAGATACAGGTAGTTCTATTCTGATTATCATCATGGTCCTGTGAAAAGTTCAGCTATGAAAATTATGACTAGCCAGTATACATAGTTATCTTTTAGTACCTTATTCTGGTAAAAGCTTAGTTGTAAATATAAAGAGGTAGGTAGAAAACTCAAAAGTATCTGGGAAAAGTCTTTATTTTATCTATTAAATAAAAATAGTTTATAGATAAGGCATTTGGTTTCAGTTCCAGGTGGATTCAGTTCCACTGAATAAGATATTTATATATAACATACTCTCAGGCTTGGCTACTTCTTCCGCCCCATCTTTGGTGCTTTCTCAAGACCCTGGATATATTTGCGAGGTATCTGGTAGTCCTCTGCAATAGAGTCAAACAATAATAATCATTTGGCATTTAACAGCTGAAACATTTACAACACTAAGTGCAGCTTACTAAGAATTTTTTAAAGATTCTGAAAATCTGAAAGCATTATACCAGTAGTTCTTAGATATTTCCATCATAGGCAGTGGTGAGAGATGTTGGAAACTAGTTCAACAACATCCAGAGGGACACAGATTACCTGCCACTGCACTATATAAAGGACTAATGATATAATAACCATTTTTCCTTCTTTTATAGAGTAAATATGTGCTTGCTATTTGTGGTTTTATAATTACCTTAAAGTGATGAGAAACTGCTTTTTAATTCATCATAACTGTTTAAAATCAATGGAGGTTACCACCCTATAATCCATCATCCAACTGTAGTGATTTGTAGCATTGTGCAAATGTGCTGTTCACTAGAAAGGTCGCACATTGGCACATATACTTGCAAAGAAGTTCCTTGGAACCACTGCTTGCTAAAAGCATTCATGTGTTTCTACTCCATTCAAAAGTAAAAGGAGATGTCCCTTTGATATATTGTGTTTTCTGTTCTGATGCCACTAATAGGAACAAAATTAATCCAGGCAAACCGATAATGTATTCTCAGTGTCTTAGCAAGTGGCAGCACCTCAGCAACTTTGTCTGGACTCACTAACTAAGCAGGGTTGGGTCTGGTTAGTATTTGATGGAAGTCCTTAAGGTATCCCAGGGCTATTAATTAGATTGGGAAGTAAAAAAAAAAAAACCTGAAGGAAACAATGGTAAACTAGTTTTGAAGTGCTGCCAAGAAAACTTCATGGATCTGTTTATGAAGTCACCAGGAATCCCCCTTCATTCAAAGGAGATGATTTATGAATATTATTCATGCCAAAGGTACTTACCTAAGAGCAGTTTAGCAAGATGACCGATCTGATTGCCTTGTATCTGGACTTGTGCTCTGTCCTTTGCTCCAGGGTCTGTGATGATAGTGGCACTAGCCTGGACCTTTTGCTGAAGGGTACTGGCAAGAGCCTGAGGGTCCAAACCATAGAGCTCAAGATTCTTAATTATTGTTATCTATTAGCCAAAACAAAAAAAGACATTAATGTACAAAATTAGTTGTGATGTTGCCACTAAATGGCCATCTAACTTTTACTTACTTACTTTTACTTAAGTGTGCTCTATTTTATGGACAACGGCATTTTGAAATAGATGGGCTTATAAATCTTTTCACTATGCATATTAATCATATCTTTACGTGTCTCTAGAAATGAACAGAAGCAATGCTTATTTGACAGCATATATACAGTGGTGCTTAAAAGTTTATGAACTGTTTGAATCTATCTAGTTATAGGACTTGTATGGAGAACAGATCATGTTTTAGGTCATAGTTAGGCAGAAATACTGAAAATTCAAAAGGCTTCACAAACTTTTAAGCACGACTGTATCACTAAATCTGGGCGGCTTAAGTGAATGGATACATGTATAGAAAGAGACAGTCATAACATACTGGGTGACATTGATGGTTTCTTGATCTGTGCAAGCACATTAACCTTCTGCCTGGTGATAGATTCTGGATTAATCCAGCTGGGACCTTTGCTCACAAGTACTCATGCTTTGACTCTTACCTTTTTATTGGATGACCTCTGTGCTATGGTTACATCAATTGGATAAATGTTTCCTTTTCTCACAACAGGTTCTTGTCCCAAAAAGGTTACCTGATGGAAGGGCTGTAGTTTGTCTAGACACCTGCCAGTAAATTAGAAAATGTAAGCTTATCTAGTAAAAGCTGATGAGATGGGATCTTTCAGCATTTCTGGCTTAGCCATTCCTGATGTCCAAATTTGCCAACTATACCTATCTATTTAGTACATGGATGCTGAACCCTGTGAGTAGTCCATATATATAAACCAAGAAACAGAGCCTGATAATTAAACAATGTTCATGTAGAACAAGAACTTATTTCTGGACGTGAAATTTGTATGTCTCTTAGCAGGTTGTTTATTCTATAGTAAAGAGAAACCAACCTACCATTGTTAGACATAGGGAAACCTATGTTGAATAGGCAAAAATTAAAAACTAGGCAACAAAAATCTCATCTTGCAGTCGTCCAACAGTCCCTATGGCACAAGGGGTGCAACATACAAATGTTTTAGGGCCATGCAAACATCCAAGCGAGATGCTTTGTAAGGTACCAAAATGTGAATGAAGCACCTCACCTCTTTCATTAAAGCTTCTGCATCTTTTGCAAAGCTTCCAAATTGCTTCAAAAGTGATTCCTAGCTCTCTCTACAAAAGTGTGCATGCATAGCCACTATGATTTGTTTTCTTTCCAGTGAAGAATTTCAATGCTACTTTTCCCATTAACTGACCATTTGCTGTGAAATAACTCTTACAGTGGGCATAATCTTCAGATATACAAGACACAAATATGCCAAGCATCACTTTATTGTAAAGGGCAATCATACAGCCTTTAGCCATGCTGATTGGGAATTCTTGAAATTATGGTATCAATGTGGAGGGCCCAAGATTGGGGAAAGCAGACTTACTTTATAAGGAAATCCTATATCAAATATATAAAACTTCTCTATGAATCGGTCTCCCTCACCTGCTGAGGAGATCATCCCACTTGAGCTTTGAGATATCTTGCTCTGCTTTGCTTAACAAACAGTCACACAAAACTGGATTTACCTTTACAAAGCTGTGATCAAAAAGAAATGCATTTTCATCATGATTTGCTCCATACATTGGGAACTCACCAGTGTCAATAATGTACAACACTTAATTTTTGCCAAGTCAATTTAAAGCTTTGCTTTACAACTTATGGGAACTACAAATAAGAAGGTACTGGCCACCTATTGTTTTTAGTTTAGAAAGGTAAACTAAATAAAAATTTAGAAAGACTTCCTCCAGTCAAGGTAAACAACTATCAACTAGATAGACACATGTAGTTTTCTGGGCAACAACAGGGAAGTGGTTGACCATTAACTTTTGACTTTGTAGTCTAACCTTCAGCCCTGGAATTTCCTCAGAGTCTCCCATCCAATTACTGATCAGGTCTGATCTTGCTAATTTTTTTCAAGACAGCCAGGTCACATCAGCTAGATGCTTAATATGAATGGATATACAGATAGTCCTCATTTAACAACTATAATTGGGACAGGAATTTCCATCGCTAAGCAATGCAGTCATAAAGCATGATGTCACGTAACTGCATCGCTTAGTGATGGCAATTCCAGCAGTCCCTGTTGCTGTTAAGCAAGGACCTCCTCGCAACTTCCTGCCGGTTTCCAACAAGCAAAGTCAGTGGGGAAGCCAGCAGGAAGTCACAAATCCTGGTGGATTGCAAGCAGATTGCAGCATTGCAACAGCAGTGGCTGTTGTGGCACAATTGCAGCCAAGCATAGGGTGGGTGCTCTGGAGGGTGGGAGGTTACACAAATGGCTGCTGCAGCCCGACATCACTGCAGCCAGGTGCAGGGTGGGTGCTCTGGAGGGCAGGAGGGCATGCAGCAAAGTGGTGGGACTTTCAGGAGT